CGACACTGTTTTAGCAGAAGTCAGTGTGAATTTTGAGGCATAAGAATCTGCTAAAAGTTACATTTAAAATTCTTATGAGAATTTTCTCTAGGAGAGTTTTTTTTTTTTTAAGGAATAAATTACCCTTATAAGTTAAGAGAAAATAATGGCAGAGACCAAGATATTTATACAGTTTGGTTCTTGCTTATAAAATCAAGGTTGTCGATCTTGATAAATAATCGTGATACGTATAGTTTATCAACAAGTATTGCCTGTACGTTCTCCGAGTGATGGATCGCAGATAAAGGCTCAAGAGACAACTGAAGTATATTTATAGCTTTGAGTTATTGGCAAAACACAATCAAATGTCGTCTTTTACATCTTTATACGAGTCATTCAGGAAATACATTCAGCCCTATGATTGCTCAGAGCGAGACCTCCTTTGCATAGGCATTGCAGTGAAATACATAAGCTTTGATTACACTTCAATATTTATTCAAATGTACATACACTGGGAGATTTCCCAACAATATGAGAATTGCTCAAACAGCCTGTGAACTGTGTAAGAAAATGCACACCATTGTGGAATAACCATGTCTCATCTCTTAGGAAGTAAAGCAATATATATATAGCACTATATATATATGTGTGTGTTAAAGCAATATATACATAGCACTACTATATATATATATATGTGCATATATATAAATGGCAATTTTTAAACTGCCTTCCAAAAACCACAGTCTGTATAAGACATTGAACCAAATGTCTAAGGCAGGATTTGTTCTCAGGTTGCTGTGAAAATAGCACACTGTGAGATACCTGGGTATCAAAAGTGAATAGCACATAAGCAAGAACAGCACAGTTGATGTGTTCTGCTGACTTTTCCCCCTACCGTTGGGAAGCTGATGAGCCACCTCCATCAGGGAGAGTAACGAGACTGACCAGGTGCTATCGGTTCACGGCTTGTGCTAATTTAAGGCGGTCACCTGTCTATGCTGACCTCTGCCTCCCAAAGGGATTGGCTGACTCAGTGGGGTAGGGTGGAAGCTACCCATCAAGATGGTGTTTTAAGGTTCGTGTGTCTCTCTCCTAACTCCTAACACTACTGTTAACCCTGTTAACATTTTAGATCCAAACTCGCCCATAAAGAACGTAAGGATGGACCCAGAACATAAACGGTTGACCTGGGACCTTAATGGAAATGTGGACCAAATTAGTTGCATAGAAGAATCAAGACTGCCCGTGCAGGTAAAGCGCATTCTCTGGGGTTGGCACACTAGATATTGCTGTGTCATCCGGGAATCTGAGAATCAGTAGAGCCCAAAGGCTGAGCCCCTGTCTGGCATCACAACCGTCCGGGTTCTACGCCTAAGTCGGCCGCGGGATGCGGGGTGAGCCGGTCACATGACAGAGGCTCCGGTCCGTCATCCGTAAGGTGTCTGAGATGCTGCACGCTCGTCTGAAAGATGCTGAGATATTACAGCTGCAGAACCGAACAACGGGAAGTGGATACTCGGGAGGCCTGGGCCTCACCCCCGACCCTCCCAAATCCTCTATCTTGTCATCTCCAGGGTTCAGAGGGCTAGAGAATAGTGCCGGATCTCCCGGTGAGAATCCAACCGTTCACAACTCAGAGTGTCTCAGGAGACAAGAGCAAGCTTCCCTGAGAATACATCTGGTCTCCTCCATTAGTGTCTTGATTCAATACAATCCAAATCTCAACCTTTTATTACTCGGTTTGGGATGACATAAAAGAGTCCCACAGACCAGGCGGCTTAAACCACAGACATTTGTTCTCTTGCGTCCTGGAGGCTGGAAGTCCCAGATCAAGGTGTCTCAGGGCTGGTTCCTCCTGAGTCCTCTCTCCTGGGTGTGTAGATGCCGTCTTCTCCCTGTGTCCCCACGGGGTCGTCCCTCTGTGTGTGTCTGTGTCCTCATCTCCTCTGCTTATAAGGACACAGTCCTGTTGGATCAGGGCCCACCCTGGTGACCTCAGTTTACTTTAATCACCTCTTTAAAGACCCATCTCCAAACACAGCCACATTGAGGGTTAGGGCTTCAGTGTGTGGTTCTTCTGATGTTCTTTTTTCCAGTATCCTGTTCTTGTTTCATAGTTAAACTGTCTCTTCTTCGTACTCTCAGAATATCAGCGGTAAGTTTTACAGCTTTTCTTCTCAATACCTAATCTCCAGTTCCTTCCTTCTGATTTTGTTTTTGTTCGTTTGTTTTGGTCTCTCTCATGCTGTCAGAGTTTTCCCAGAAGTTTGATAATCTTTGACAATCTCTTCCTGCTAAGAGCGAGAACCAAAAATCTAACCATGCACGTTCTGAGCAAATGGGTGGACTTTGAGGTCTGAGGACTTCACCCTTTGGTGATCGGGCTGAGCAATCATGGAGGAACCCCCGACACCAGATGAATCATCTGAGAGAGTTTTATATCAGCACCAAAAATGCACAAGAATGGCAGGTCCTCAAATAACACCATCTCATTCCACACGGTTTTGTTATAACATTGATGAGAAAAAAAAAATGCAATTCCCAGAGGGGGTTGCTATCTGTGTGAGGGTTGCATGTTCTCTGCAAGATTATGTGGGTTTTCTTGGGGTACTGTGGTTCCCTCTCACATCCCAAAGCTGTGCCCGTTAGGTGAAGGCTGGGTCTATGTGATTCCAGTCTGAGCGAGGGTGGGTGTGTACGTGACCGCCTCTCTGATGGGATCGTGCCTGAAGGGGAAAAAGTGGGTTAATATCGTACATGTTTTTATTAATCTTTCTTAAATGTATGTATAGCTCACGTTTATTTCAACATTAAATATTAGAAATGTTTTCGTCCTTATTTAGAAGTTTGGTGATTTTTTTGTGACCAGAAATAAGCTGTAGCAACTCATCTCTTGTTTATATCAAGTAGCCTACGATGAAATGGATTTTATTATGTCATTTTGCTTAAAGTTGAAGTTTCCAAGAACCTACAGGCAACATTAAATGAGGATTTACTATGTGCACGTTTTCTAATAAGCTCAAATGCGTTTTTTCAACAGGTATTGAATAACTTGTCTGGTTGAGTCTTTTGTAGACTTGGTTAAATGTATATAGTTCCTGTTTGTTTACGGACTAATGCTTTTGCCTATTAATGCATGCAGGACTTGATGTTCTGTATTTTATTAAGCTGCTATACAATGTAGGCACTGAGATTTCATGTCAGGATTTTGATAAACATTTTCTATGCAGTTGTTTCCTTTCGTTTTTGCTTTTTGTATAAGTTTCTATTTTTGTTTCACTCTTCCTATTTTTTCATTTATTATTTATTTTATGATTCTATCCTTGGAGAAGTAACATTTCTCTATATTTGGTCTTAAATAGAATTATTTTCTCTATCTTTAGTCTTAAATGCAATTATTTTTATACAAGTTTTTGTACCTTTATTTTAAAAAAAAAATCTAAACCTTAATATCAAACAAAGTATGTTCTCTAAACAATCAGCACGTTGTCTTGTCTTTGTCAGGCAAAAAACAACAGGTATTGCTCCTTTGAACTGATGTCCCCATGCAAAGTCACAAACTACACCGTCACGGTGACGGATCCGCCGTTCTCAACGTGGATTCTCTTCCCCGAGCCAGGTGACGAAAAAGGCTTATTCTGTTTGTATTTTAATCAGAGATCGGCGTTCTTTTTTTTTTGTTTTGTTTTGTTTTTTTTTTTTTGAGACAGAGTCTCACTGTGTTGCCCGGGCTACAGTGCCGTGGCGTCAGCCTAGCTCACAGCAACCTCAAACTCCTGGGCTCAAGCGATCCTCCTGCCTCAGCCTCCCGAGTAGCTGGGACTACAGGCATACGCTACCATGCCCGGCTAATTTATATATATATATATATTTTTAGTTGTTTGGCTAATTTCTTTCTATTTTTAGTAGAGATGGGATCTCGCTCTTGCTCAGGCTGGTCTCGAACTCCTGAGCTCAAATGATCCTCCCACCTCGGCCTCCCAGAGTGCTGGGATTACAGGCATGAGCCACCGCGCCCGGCCGGGCGTTCTCAAGGTCAAAATAGTCACTTGGATGGATCTCCAAGGATTCATGCCGAGTGGAGGAAAAGAGAACCCCAGAGGTGGCACATAGTGGGGACTCGTATATATGACCATCTTGAAACCGCAACGTTGTAGAAATGAGAAACAGACTCGTGATTGGCAGGGGCTGGAGGGAGGGAGGCGTGGCCAAAAAAAGGCACCTTGGGGAGATCCTGTGGGGATGAAATTGTCAACACCTTGAGGGTGCCCAGATCAGCTTCCTGGCTGAGCGATTATATGTAATACCGCAGTACTGCAAGATGAAACCGGGTGGAGCGTCTACACAACCTCTTTGCCGTATTTTTTACAACTGTGTGTGAATGCATGGGGATCTCAGAAAACAAAGTGTGGGTTTAACTTGCGTTAGTTACTCTCAATAGTGACTCGTTTTTGCTTTGTCCTTGCAAGCCCAGACGGGACGCCTGGGGCAGCCGCTGAGAATCTGTCCTGCCGGGTTCACGACGTCGATTTCTTGACGTGCGATTGGACGGTGGGCCGGGCGGCCCCGCAGGACGTCCAGTATCAGCTCTACGTGGAGGACGGGACGTAGGTGTGGCCTCAGGCACACTCTGGCTGTCCGGGCCACGGGGAGCCCCTGACTGATTTCTGCACCTGTCTACTCACCACAGGACCCTTGAACGGCGTAAGTGTCTGCATTACAAGACAGATGACCGGGGAACACACGTCGGGTGTCGTTTCGATGACATCTCCAGACTGTCCAAATACCCTCACGGTTTACGTTTCACGGTGGGCGGGACCAGCGGAGCTGCCCGTGTTCCCTGCACGGATGTTTTCAGATATTTATCTGCAATTGGTGAGTAAGGACTCCGGACATGTCTTGCACACTGCGCCTTCAGCTTGGGGCGCTGTTGTCTTAACTCAGGCTGCCTAACCAACACCGCAGACTGGGCGGATTAAACAACAGACATTCATTGCTCCCAGCTCTGGAGGCTGGAAGTGGAGACCCCGGCGTGGCAGAGGCTGTGTCTGGTGGGGACTCACTTCCTGGTTCATAGACGGCGCCTTCTCGCTGTGTCCTCACGTGGTGGAAGGGGCGAGGCAGCTCTCTGTGTCCCTTTTATAAGGACCCTGATCCCATCCATGAGGCTCCACCCTCAGGACCTTGTCACCTCCCAAAGCCCCCACCTGCTCACACCATCACCTTCAGGGTGAGGGCTTCAACCTAGGAATTTTGGGGTGGACA